ACAAATGGAATCTTCCCCCACTTGTGGCTTAAATATCAGCGTGTCTTTGAGTGTTTTTTATTAAACGTGTGATGAGGGCAAGTAAGTGGAACTTCAAACACTCCTAAAAAGCCACAACTTGCAGAATGAAGATAATGAGCAGATACGCTAAAAGCTTCCCTGCATGTTGTTAACACTGTTCACTGTCAGGCTGTTTATTTTTCAAATAGATTTTTGACACAGGTGGTGGTTTGGGTCATATTTTACCCACCTTAATAACATAAATGCTTGTAACCGGAGACAGCACCACTTTCATCATAAAAACCTGCTGTGGACATTGAGAAAAAATTGGGGCCCCAAAATGTGAAAACAAATTTGTGCTGGTGGCGATACAGTCCTTACGTCTAGGCTAAATGAAAATGGCTTTGCTTAGTCAAACCTTGCAAACCTAAAAACTGTACAAAGTTGAACAGTGAAGCACAGGACAAGGTACACAGCCACATTTATTTTAGCTTATTGCTAATACAGGGGGTGCATGTGAAGAAGGCACACCCACGCTGTCTTTACTAGCTAGGCTCCTTATATGCTTGCTTATAACTCATTTGAAGAGGTGGGTTTTTGACAGCATTGGAGCACAGGCAGTCTGTGAGGTGTGTGCGTAGGGTAAGTGTGAGTGACAGAGAGTGACGGTGAACGGGAGCAGAGCGGAGGGAAAGGTGAGCGGTGTCAGCTGTAAACGTACAGTGTAGGTTACGCTTCGTCAGTGAATCAACGCTGCAGCTTCTCGAGAGCAAACTCAAGCTCCCGTGTTGTTTCCCAACTGCTGGGAAAGTGAAGGGGGTAATCACATTGTTGCGTTGAAGACGATGTCGGGCAGTTTCACTCAGGTGTTCACAGAGAGGAGGTTCAACAACAGGGAAAACAGAAGCCCACTGCTCTGAGGGCCCACAGTTGAACAGATTCTTTCCATTCAGGTTAGGACGTTGTCAGGTGACCTTTGTGTTGGGACATTTTTCCCATTTTTTTCTTTTTTTACAATGGCACCGGAGTTGTGTGGGACTCTTGGAGAAAGCAAAAAAAGTCATTTACTTATATGCAGATGATATTACTCAAACGACACTAGAACTTAATCTTAATCTTAAATGTAAATTAAAATACACCTGTTGTATTAGGCTGTGGATGTAAAAACAGCCTTGTTTGAGGAAGATGGACACTTACAGTAAATGTCTTAAAATCCAGAATCTGACATTAGCAGTTTGGTGCTGGAGCCCTTCGGTTGACTGTCGCGGCCTTAGTTGACTTTCCTTCCAGAATAGTTGAGGACACTACGAGCTGTGCATGTCTGAGTGTGTTGGCCTGTCTATCTCAGCGCTGGAGGGAGGGAGTCAATCACAGCAGCAGAAATCATCCCTGCGGGCGATCTGTCTCCACTCATGACAAGGCTCCTAAGGCACTTATCTTTCCTTCCCTGACTCATTCCTTCCATCCATCCATCCCCTCAGCCCTCCCTCTGTCTCCCCCCCCCCNNCCTCTATTCTCTATCACTCTCCGTCTCCCTCCCACAGTTTGTCTCGTGCCCCGGCACTGCAATTAACTTCTCATCATCAAAGGGTGTAATGAAAAAGAAGAAGATAGAGAGTCAGACAGAGGTAGGGAAGCTGTGAGAGAGGGAAGATAAGAGGGATGAAGCCGGAGGAGACTGAACAGAGGTGAAGCCGTGTCTCACACATACCCTTACACGTGCACGCACACACTTGCGCACACTCGCAGGCTCCTTTTTTTTTTTTTTTTTTTCCTCAAATACACACTCTGTTAAACACAATCACACACGCAGCCTGCACTCGCTCTCAATCACTCTCACATTCCTGCGAGAGGCAGACAGAAAGGGAGAAAGAGAGGTATGATATCCCCCCAGGAGATTTTTTCTCTCCTCGTTCCTTGTTTTTATTTCTCAACCCTCCATTTCTCCTTTCCTCTTTCACAGACGCACACACACTTGTTCACACCGTCTCCCCCTCCTCCTCCTTTTCTTTGAAGAACAAGAAGTATTGCTGTACATGTAGGGAAGCTGCTCAGTTGGTATTCTCATTGTTTTTTTCACCCCCCCGGTTCAGAGAGCTGTCAACTGTGACCGCTGTTGAAAGGATGTCAGCGAGAGGGGGAGAGAGAGAGAGAGACTGGTGGATGAAAGAGACGGTAAAGGGGGGGGGAGTCCCCACAGAGGGCAGAGGGAGTGATGGCATGCTTGTTTCTTTGTGCCCAAGCAAACGTAGCAACAACAGCAGCGAGGGGAGGTGATGGAGAGGAAAATAGCTAAGGGTAAAAAAACAGCTCAAGGGGGAAATGAGAAGGGCCAAAGCTGCTAATTAAGTATGGCACTAGTGCTCACCAACACCAAGGTGACATTTATATTGGCCCTAGTTGGTGGTCCTTGGTGGGGGAGGCTTCAGCTGTGGAATCTAGCTCGCACAAGCGTGGTTTGATTCTGACAACACATTATAATAATCTGTAATGTAACATGATGGATTGTGACCAAAACCGGAACAGTTGACTTTATGGGTGTATAAAGAAAATATTGAAAAATATTGTATCATGATATTGTATTGTTATTTAAAAAATGTTTTTTGCTTTTAAACCCCCAACCCCCTCCTAGATAGCAGTGTTGTAAACGTAAACTGAGAGCTATGATGTTGGATGTTACAATAAGTAGACCGGACAGTCATTTGTCCTTTTTTCCCCAGGCATTTGAATTTTGTGCTACAGCCCTTTCCTCTGTTGACACACACTGTTGGTCTGAGGCAACCATCCAACCAACCAGTAGCAAGTGCTACTGCTGCGATAAGAAATGTGATCCCTCACCAGCTTCCCATCACCTGCAAACACTGTCAACTGCAGTTTTATTTATATCATCAGGAATTTGGCCAAAAAATACTATAATAAATTAATACAAAACTTTAATAATAATAATAATAATAAGTACAAAAGATAAAAACATTGACCAATGCCAGTAATTATGTTTAGCCATGCTAGTGGTGGTGCTGTTTGTCTATCAGATGGTGAGTCAACCAATTTGGTCCAGACTAAGAAGTGTCTTGACAACTATTAGATGGATAAACATTAAAGTTAAACCATGAGGTTGACATTTGTGGGTTTGTTATAAGTGAAATATCTCAACAACCATTGGTAGTAGTCCCTTGACATCCAGTGGACACATTCACGCCCTCCAGTGACCTGCATGCATCTACAACTTCATAAGCTCCACTGCCCAAAAAAGAATTTATCGATTTGAGAAACTGATTTATCTGGCTACATAGTTACCTTGCAAACTGGATCATATTGGGACAACCCGATCACAGTGCTGATCAAATGGGGACTTGTGACTTGCCATAAAGATGGCAGAAACACTACATGGCTAGCCTGGCTAAGCTGAATAGCATGCTCCAGCTGATAGAACAACTGGTGCACTGCCAAAACTGTGCGGGTAAAACTTGCGCTCTTGAATGTCCACATATGTAGTCGACATAAACAGACTATTCATGTCTTGTTCATGATTAAGGAGCATAAAATTGACACATGGATCGATGCGGCATTTTACTGACTTGTTGCAGTTGACTGTTGATGTTAAAGCATGTCCACTGTACCCTTAGAAAACATCAAATGTAGTGCTGTTCTGTGGATTCCATTACTCCCTGTGGCTGGCTAGATATGTTTGCTAAGAGCAGCACTGCCTAAGGTGATGTTTCGCTGGCTTTCAGTGTGTCTGATTAGTCAGTTAGAAGCAAACACTAGAAAAAGCAGCACACAGAAATAAAACTGTTCATCCAAGCAAAGCGGGGAGCTTATTGAAGCGGACATTTTAATCAGCTACCCAACAGGGGTGAGGCTGAGATGGTGTCGCCTCTGTTTGGTCTGTCAAGATTGGCTGTGGGCGATGATATCTGTTCGTGTGGGCAGGAAGAGGAGGGGCAGGAGTTGCTTTGAGGAAGAAAGGTGGTGACAAGGAGGTCCGAAACAGCTGGCTTTGCATTCTGCATGAAGGGGAGGAATCAACAGCGAACCAAATGACAGCCATTCACTGTGATCAAAAGGACGATACAGTTTCTCTCCTCGGATTCAGAGAATCACTGACAGACTCTCAGGCCCCTCGGAGTCTTCACAGTAGAGCTCTGTTTTCAGATTGAAAAAAGCTTAGTTGGCGCACTAGCACTACTCTCTGCCAAGCAATGTGCCCGCCCTAATGTTTCTTCTTATCTGCATCACTTCCATTTAAACATGAGGTGACACGGCTTCATATTATTGTTTGTATTATTTGGAAAAATCAACATGAACTAAAATCAAATACGCACTGTGCCTGTTTGATACCTTTTAGTTAAGTTGTTTGCCTTGTGCACTGGAGCCACTGGCACTCTGCACATCTCCTTTGCTTTCTAGATTATCATGCTGTTGACACAGCTTCCCAGTGCGATTCAATGTGTGGGATCCATTTCAGTGAACAAATTGGTGTCAAACATCTCGCTAACTCTCCTACCAACTAATCAATAGGGAATTCATGGTGTGAGTGGGTGTCATCCCTCCATCTGTGTCCCACTTGTTTCAGTACCACGCATATCACAGAGTCGCCAGCCATCTGCCAATTTCTTAGTGCGCACTATTATTGTCATTCAGATTTGTCATGCAGCTTGCACAGAAGCTGGTTACTCCTCCACACAACACTGACGTATTTGCCAGTATCATAGATAAACATCTTGTTAACATTTACCACATCATTAGGGAAGCATATGCAGGATACTCGTCAGATTTATGGAGATAACTTGTGCTAATGCGCGTAAACAGTTTGCAAACTGAGGTACTAAGATAAGTTACATTAGAAATAGTTAGTAGAAGATTGAGGGGCGCATTGACGTAACTAATGTCACCACATTTTACACATTTCATTCATCCACATATTTGAAAGTGGCCTCGTATGATGAAGGCATATTTGTTTTTAGTCGTGCTGATTTCTACTCTGTTTTTTTTTCCAGACCTGAATAGGAGAGAGAGATGACCCTAGTTTTGTCCATGAATCCTTTTCTGGACCCAGAGGGAGACCCTCCGCTCTCCACATACCAGCCCATATGGGAATCGGAGCGCTGCACTAAGACCTGCCTGTCGAACCCTGCCCCACCATGCAGCTCTGAAGAGCAATTCACACAAGGTATAGACACCAAGCACAGAGCTTTGTGTGTTAATTCATTTATTTAAGCTGATTAGTTATTTTAAAAGTACAAGGATTTTGCACCACATACGATGTACTTAGGTTTGAGACCTAGCAACTAGACCCATCAGTCCAAACCATTTATCAGTATTTGTCTATAATGGCCCTGCTGTCATACATTCTAGTTTTCTAGACAGCCTGCACCCCATCAGTCAAACTGTAACGTTTGAGTGTAGTTAAGGATGCAGTGTTAATGGTGTAGAGAAGCAATCAGCTAATTAACATGGTAGCGGGTCAGCAGTATGTGATCTTGCTTTCTTTCAATTTTCAGTGCAGTTTAGTGGTTCATTTATTGCATTTGCCAGTTAAACTGTCATTTCAGTTTCAAATGAGTTACCAAAGAAACCTGTTGCTCCAGAATATTCTGCTGCCCTTTGGCTACTTTTGAAGTTAAGGTTCAACTCAAGCTTTAAGGTTCAAAGGTGACTGTTAACTGATTAAACTTAAACTTAACTAAAAGTTGTTGTGTATTAATGTTGTGTTTACAGCACTTTTGAGAACTTACCTGATTTGCACATTGAGTCGTTACAGTGCATTTAAATAACTAATAACATTGATTACAGTTAAACAAATAAACCTAGTAATACACATTTTGAACTGTAGCACCACGGTATCCACCTATAATATATTGAGCTATGGCCTCAAAACAAGAAGCAGTTTGTACGTGTAGATTATGAAACATTCAGTAATGCTTAGTTTGTCTTCAGTCCACCAGTGCGGTTGATTTGTGATATTGTTTTCTGTCTGTAGAAACCCCCTGCAGGCGAGTCCCTGATCACGTCTCAGTATCAAGGATTGCCTACTTCAAGAGGAAGTTTGTTGATGATGACGATGAGCCTCCCTTCAGTTTCAGGACGTACTGCCAGACTGTAAGTATGGACACTCTCTAATCCTCACATCAGAGCACACAGTGTATCAAGCCTACATCTAAATAAGTCTTTAACTAAGATTTCGGGCTGCCCCGAATGCTATTTTTTGGACTTCAAAGCTTCATATGAGAAATATATCTGAAGGGATTGATGTGTTTCACCAGTGTTTACTGTAAACTACTTTAATATGCTCACTCTGCTCCTCCTCTTTCTCCCATACACACATGCACACACCAACACCTCTTTCTCTTTCTCTCTGCACCTCACACACTAGCTTGCCCTGCTGGCCTCTTTCTGTCTCTCTCTCTCCCTGTCTCTCCAGCAGTATGCTTTATGAAGTGAAAAAAATGTAAAAGACGTAGAATACCGAAACGATCGAAAACAACATGGTACCAAATGCTGTACTTGGTCCGTGCTGGTAAAGTATCCACAGTGTGCAGGTTTTTTTTAACAAAACACCAGATAACATCGTCCTCTCTCTCTATCTGCTCTGCAAAATGCTAAAATGGGTCACTGGCCGTTATACCTGGACGGCCTGTCCAATTAAAGTCCATGTGGGAAACACTGCGGGATCAGGTTTCGACACGAACCATTCAAATACTGATTTGGACGTGGATTACAATGGCAACGGTTGAAGCTTTGAAGCATTCGGATCAGATCAGATTCAGATCCTTTTATAAACATACAATCTAGGGATGAGCGAGAACACCATTATCTGTATCTGTATCTTTTCACCCAGCTAAATGATATATATTTGTATCTGTCCCCGAATGGGCGGGGCTTACACTAGATGTGGGTGGTGCTTTAAAGTGGGTGGGAGTAACCAAAAGTTGTCCATTTAAGATTAAAATTGATACGGGTTGATCAGAAGTTGCTATATTTATTTCAAAAATATTTACAGAACAGCTTCAGAGCAATGTTTTGTTTTGTTTTGTTTTTTGTATATTTATATTGACAATTATGTACTGGATACTTAGCCAAGTACTCACTCAATCCTACATTTTGAAAAGTCATTTGAATGATGGTTCAAAGTCACTGTGTCCAAATTCACTGTTTCTTCAATATTCTGTATGAGAGACACTCCATAGTTTATTCCATAGTGAGCTTAAGATTTTGGACACTTCTGCCTCTAACAGATGTAGTTTTGCATGTCTTTTGCATCTATTGTGTGATTGTTAGAAGAAAATAGGGAACATAACTTGTTTGTTCAATTGTGTGAAGTTGTAAGGACCCTATATAGGGGATAAATTCTACAACCAGAAAGCCAACACCTAAATAAATTGTCAGTAAATATAGTGCACTATATGGCTATAGGCTGTGATTTTGTTTCAAAATGCCTTTAATCATTTTAAATTTGAATAAAGTTTTAGAGTGTAGGGTTGGTAGATTAATGTTAAAGCGGAAGCATGGTAGCTTTTGAGGGTTTGTTTGCAAATGGATTTGCATTAATATGACAGGACAAAGAAATGAAAACTCCTCCCGCCTACACGAGTATGGTTGCTTAAAAAGGATCTGTCTTTTGTAGCTGAGCAGGTTGCATAGATCTAACAGGGTAATGTCCTTCAGGTTGCACCAGTTTTGGAGGAGCGTGCCCATGTGCTGCGCCTCTCCCTGGAGAAGATGCGATTCATCGACGACCCCGAGGCCTTCCTCCGACGCTCCGTCCTGGTTAACAACCTCCTTCGGCGCCTGCGAGCTGAGATCCTGCTCCAGAGCACTGACTGGTGCTTTCCACCCAACCCAGCATTCACCACGGGCCCCTGCGTCCCGCCACCCAGCACTAACCCCGCTCACCAGGCACTCCACGGAACTGTACCCACCCGGATCTGCTTAGCCCCCCAAGCCGGACCGCCCTTCCGTAAGCGCTTCCGGATGGTCCGTGGGGGACAGGGGGATCTACGCCCTGACTGTGCCCAGACATGCTGCTGCATCTATGCAGCGGCGGCTGCTGCAGGACACTACCTCCACCTCCCGTTCTCCATGTATGACGCAGCGCTCTCCGCCTGCCCGTCCACGCCACACTCGTCCTCCCTTTTCCAGCTGGCTAGCCATAGTAAGTTAGGCCTAACAGTGGCCATAGAAGAGCATGACGACGAGGATGAAGATGTTGAGGAGGAGGAGGAAAACGAAGAAGAAGAGAGGGAAGAGGAAGAGGAGGAGGAGGAGGAGGAGGAAGAAGATGATGAAAGAAGACAAGCCGGGCCTTCCCTTGATGTTGTTAAGGACAAGTCGAGCCAGAAAAGTAGGACTAGGACCTTGCTGGGTCATGCACACACAAGGACAGAGGAGGACAGCAGCATGACGGATAGGGTAGAAGAGGAGGACGAGGGAGAGCAGGAGGAGGAGGAGGAGGAAGAGGAAGAGGAGCAGGTTGTGAGACCTTGTCAGTGGGACTCTGCTGCCACAGAAAGGGAGCTCCACAAGGTCAGCTTCTGGCACCGCAGGGCTCATAGACAATAGAAAATACTTACGAGTCTGTTAGAAAATGTAATGATGACGACAACTGTCATCAGTTGAAGATTATTTCTCCTCACAGCAGATGAAGGTGTGAGCTACCTACACTATAGTAATGCCAAGTCAGCTTTATTTTAATAGTCTAATATACTCCAGGGTGGCACACAGACAAACTCCATTCAACTCTATTGCTAGTGTTATGGTCAGATGAATAAAAATAGACAGATCTTGGCCACTGTTGGCACTGGAAAAACTATTCTAAAGGTTAAGGTCACATATGGCGGGATCTTAAATCCCAAAGGTAAAGAGAAGCTTGCAATTGCACTGTCTCCAAGACCATTTTCAAGCCCCACAGCACAAAACTAAAGGTCTCAAGTGGGGTTTCATATTGGTGCAACGGTCTCGTTTCAGGACCCTAAACAAACCTATAAAATGAAGGGTTGTGGATTTTGGGGGTGTGTGCTTCTGTGCGTATATGTGTGTGTGTGTGTGTTTGCAAGATATGATGTAGCATTTTAAAACTTGATTTTAAGCTGTTCTTTCTATTAAACATGGGTTACACGTGATTATGTGTGCCTGTTGATTTTGACGCTGTCTCAGGCAATGGCGAGCGACTGTGCTGCAGTGGCTGCACAATGTGTATTCAGATTATTTTAAGAGACAACAATCATAAACATCGGAAATGTTAAATCACAAGTTCAAGTGCCTTAGTGTTTTTATAGATACATGTATATTGTGTGTTAATGTAATTGTTCTTGTTACTAAGTAGATTTCTTGCATTCCAAGTGACTGCGTTTGACTAAAACAGGACACAGGCATGTAGTTAAATGCAGGAATTCTTTTAAACGTCAATGATATTTCAAAGCAAAGTCAATTTCCATGCCCAAAATGTGTTCTGTTTGTTTTTACTTCAAAATGCATGTTTTCTAGCGATACCTGTCTTGACAATGCCCAAACTTAAATCCGACTTTCAAGGACAGTTGCTAAAGCCTTGAAAAGCTCAGTGTGTTCAGAACCTCATTTACATTAGTCAGATTTTAGCAGAAAAGGCTAGTTATGGTTTGGTTGGTCTGTCCATTGATGAGGTTTGACCAAAAATATAAATATCAATGAGATACATACATAGTCATTTGAATCATACTGCTGACTGCCAAAACGACCCTTTCCCCCAGCGTCATCACAGATCTACATGTGTAGGAAACAAACCAGAACAGGGCAGACATACAATCTCATTTAGTGGGGTTTTTTTGTATGTATGTATACAAAGAAAAGCTCCAGTTTTTTTTTATTTGGAAGTTAAAGGAACAGTTCGACAATTTATCAAACATTTTTCTCTTTTTTCCCCGAGCGTTAGATGAGAAGTTCGATAACAAAGTTAACTAAATCCGCTTACAGGCACCTCTAGAGCTTGGTAATTAACACGTTATATCTCTGTGGTGTCTCTACTGGTTGCCAGGAAGTTTCTGCACTCGGGCCAAGAAATTGTAAAACCACAATGTGTCATTTTTACACAGATTCATTATCAATTAGTACACTTTAGAGGTGTTGGTAGGGGGATTTTTTTTTTTTCTTTAAACACAGCCAGGCTAGCCATTTCCCTGTTTCCTGTCTTTATGCTTAGCTAGTTTAGTAGCTTCACGTATACATGACAGTAATAGCTATATCTTCTCATATAACTCTTGACAAAAAAGTGAATAAGTGCATTTCTCAAAATGCCACACTATTCCTTTAACTATCCCACCTGCCTCTGTTGTGTAGGCGTCTAGAATTGAGCGTGATAGAGTGAAATCATGTTGGTTGAGCAGTGTCAGCCTGTTTAGGTATAAATTAAAGAAACCCATCAAGGACAGATACAACACAAACCCAGTTTTAATCTACATATTTGAGCCTTTCTGTCAAGATAGCATGATCAGTGGTTTCTAGTTTGTTGTTTCGTTTGGCACTTTGGAAGATGAGGGTCCAAACCCAAACCAAAGTTTCTTTTAAAAAAAGAGGAAAGATTCTATCAGTAAGTCTTTTTGTTTTGTTTTGTAACCTACCTTAAGGTGCAGGAATTGGATGGGCTCAGCGGGGCTGTTACAGTAGGTGGAATTATTCCTATCATTTTATCTGAAGTACAAAATAACAGTTTGCATCCTGACTGTTTTGGCATCGGTGACACATCTACAACTAGATAAGTACAACTACTAACGAGTACCAGCCCATTTAACTTTGTTTCTCTAAACCCTCAATGATAAAACCCAGTGATTATCAGTGGTATTTTTTAAAGATGAAAAAAAAAAAATTGACAAAGCAATATTTGTTTCTGAGACAAGAACATGTAACTGCATTGTCTGTAATTAAAAACAACAAAAGAGCCAATCTGCTCTGATGATTTTATGTGATGTTCTGTGAAAAAGTGTAAAGATCAGTAAAAGAAATGTTGAAAAAACCTCTTGCTTCCTCCTTTATTCCTTTACAATGACAAGTGTGTGTGTGTGTGTGTTAATCTAAGCGTGTGCATTGCTGCTTATTGTCTTTGCTTCCCGTCCTGTCTGCTGTGCAGTGGAGTGCAGTGCCACAGCTTATTGCACTCGCCAAATGTCTCTCAGGTGTCACTTTGCTGCTCAATTCTTGTTAATCTTTCTGACATTACGCTCAGAGCAGTCACCTCCACACTCCTCCCTGCACTCCCTGTCGTACCTATTGTCCCTGCACTATTCACAAAACACACAGACCCTCATTTTGTCCCACACAACCTTAGAAATAATGCAGGGGCAATTAAAAAAAAATACTCTCCCTCACTCATGATTACTTGTTATTGTGACTGTCAAAGATACTCTGTGTACGCTGTGTGTGCATACGCTGCATCCACCAGCATTACTGTGCTTTAAGTTAAATGTTACTTTGATCCAGTATTAGTGCTCACTATGTGCACCCTAATTACTGGATTATTTCTAATACTGCAGGTTTTGTATGACATTGCCCCAGCTTGCTTGAAAGCAGCTAAGCCATTGTAATACAGATTGCAGAGAAAGAGAGAGAGAGAGTGTGTGTGTGTGTGTCGGTAGGATGTTACCGTGTGAAGTGGGGAGGTTAAATCACGGGTCTGAACATCTTGACAGCTCTGTTGCGAGGTGAGGATGGAAGATCATCTTTTGACGACACTTCTGCCGCAGGGGTGTGTGTATCCTGCCGCTCAGCCCCCATCGTTCTCTGCTCCTCCTTCACATTCCTAGTCGTCTCATTCACTTGCACTACCACTACTTCGGTACTGACTGAATTGTAATTTTCGCTAAAATTGTTAGTTCAACCTGAGAATGTTCGATAATACCAATTCACGAATTTATAAACAACATTTTAAAGAGCCTTAATTTAAATACTTTTCTTTTTAGTATTATGTATGTATGTTATGATCCTTTTTAATTCCATCACTTTAGCTATGTATTTTTCAACAGTTAAATCATTAAGGCTAACAATTTGAAGTATTTATTCATACTTTTAGCTTTTCAGGAAAAACCTTTAGCTATATAATTCAAACGCCATTCATCCATGTTTTCAAATTCCCTGCTCACTTTTTAAAATTTCGCACTCCAAATTGCACAGTATACGTGTTATAGGATGAGAATTCTTTTCTAATTAGCTCATCCATTTCTATTTTGTCTAATTATTTTAAGATGGCTATCACAATCTTCTCCACAAACCCCCCGCAACTGTCAGAATACCCCTGGGATACTAGTACCCCTGGTTGGAATCACTGTACTACATAACAACCTATAATTAATTGAATTTTTTTTTATTTAACGTTCACTAACCACTCATACCTGATTAATAGGTGAATAAAACTCATTACATAAATACCATGTGAAATGGCCAATGTTGGTCATTGTACAGCTACGTTGTATGTTGTGGCTGTGTGTGTGTGTGTGTGTGTTGTGTGGTGTGTATGAAATACTGAACGTATGTTCTGCAAATAACACAATGTCTCCCTCTTTCTCTTTCTGTCCCTTCACCCCTTCTTCCCCCATGGCCCAAGGCAAAGACTGCGACTCCTGCAAAACAGACACACACACACACACACACACTACACACACACAACACAACAACAGACACACACACACACAAACAGACACACCACACACACACAACACACACACAACGACACAATCGCAGGCCGAGTGCTGAGGAGAGGGGAGCTGTCATTTGTCAACAAGGAACTTTGGCAGCTCACCGTTGCCATGGGAACTGTCTGTTGCTGAGGACTGGTTTTGCATCACAAGGTCCTCAAATTGGCTCCAAAGCCTCGGAGGTCCCACCCCTCCTCCACCCGACTCACCTCCGTCTCTCACAGCTTCAGACATATTGTCAGGATTCTGTTTTCTTTTTTTTTCTCTCTGTTCTGCTGTCTTCCACCTCAGAGACACAATTCCTCCGTCTCATTCCCCAGTCTGGTTCTCTCATTAGCAGGGAGATTTGTATCTGCTGTTTGATTTACATCAGCGATAGATAGATAGATAGATAGAAAAGATTATGATACACACACAGATAAGATAGATAGATAGATCTTCAAAAATCTTCTATTGATTCGTTTTTTCTATAAAATGTGACATCCTAAAATGTCTTGTTGTGTCTGACCAACAGTCTGCAACCAGAATATGTTCAATTTATATTGATATAAAATGACTGAAATGATTTATTGTAAAAAGTTTACTTTCAATCAGCTAATCGACTAATTGTTTCAGCTGTGAACTCCAGCATTTGACTATCCACAAAAGGTAGAATTTAGGGGCCAGATAATACCTAGAGTATTGATACTACAAATACTAAGTTTTTGAGATACCAAGAAAAAAAACAATCATCCTTCTCATTAGACCACATTCTGGCCACATGAATACTGTGCTTAGTGCTTAGTGCTGCTGCTGCAGAGAGCACTCATTGTTTATTATTAAAAACTGGAAATTCCTAATGTTTACTAAATCATTGTATGGTAATGAAAATGTATTCAGGAGCCTTTTCATTTTTCCTATTCAGTAGCCTATAAATGAAGAACCTCATACATCATGACAAATGGCTCTCCGGTATTGTGTATAACAACATGTTAGCTGCTTTAAATGCAGTGCTATCAATATCACTGTAGACCTGGTATTAATTGAAATCAGATTTCCCACCCATAGGAGAACCTGCGACTGTAGCATCTTCAATAAGATTTGCATCTTTTACTCTCTCAGTGTCTTTAGGATGTGGTATAAGGAAATATTGCAGATCTTCAGGAACAAGCTCTATTATTGTTGAGTGCTGGTGAGCGAAGATGAGTGACAAGTAAGTATCCCGTTATTACAATTATAAGCCAAACCACTGTTATCATTGAAAAACTGAAGGTCCTGGGTAATATAGAAATCAGATAAAAGATGATTTGATACCAGTTTGCATGGTTGTATTAGCTAACAAGGACTACAGCAATCATTTGCCCTCTGCAAGTGCTCACAGATTATTATGTACTGAATTTTCATCCATCCATGTCACTGCAGCTCAAGCCCTACAAGTCGATCCCCATAGGATCAATTTGATTCAGCTTACATAACAACCACAGCTCTCTGGCTGTTGTTGATGTTTCTGGGTCTCTCCCTCCAGCATAATGCGCCTGTATTTTCAGTGCAGAAAGAGGCTGTTGGTATTTGATAAACACTTGCAATGTGTAGGATGTCCTCAATCCTTGTCTCTACTCCCTTTCCCCGCCAGTGAATCTTTCACGCTACCAAGACAAAGTTGTGTATAAATTGTGTCTGGAGATGAAAGAGATGCATTTTTTTGGCTGTGACACCTGAATTTGAAGATTTTTGGCCTATTCAAGTGAAAACTGTATGTAACAGTAAATCGTCGTTCTGGCCTATCAATAAATTTTGCTGTTCCATAGCACAGAATAACCATAAGAGAGCATGCAATGCAAAGAACCCAGAAACACGTCTAGATTGAATCATTTCAAAATAAAATAACATTTTTAGTAACAGATTACACTGGTAGCTATAGTTGCTCTAATTCTCAAACTGACAACAATATCTTGTTGATAACTGGAGTGTAACTGTCTTATTTGCTATTTGTAATTCATCCAGTAACTAGATCACTGACTTTGATTTAAGCCTAGTTGGCTGACACTGTGGTTGTAGTGATTTACAGCGTAAATCCCAAAAGACCAAGTGATAAGAACTAAACAGTAACCGTCTAAAGATGAAAACCAGTTTTTCTCCATTAATAAAAAGTTGTCTACCATTTCAAAACATGCCTGGAACATACAATACACCAACTTTATTTATTTAAAGCTGCACAAATCAATATCAGATCAATAGACTCCTAGTAAAAAACCTAAAAAGAATAACCACCCAACTCTGCAATTCCCCTCAGCTCTATGGGGCATTTAAGTGTTTTTAGTGGTCCACTGTCACTGTTCTTTCTCTGTTTCCACCCAGAACAAGCAGCTGTTTAGAAAAAAGTATTGATAAAATTATTGTACGTTAGCAGACAACAGACAGACAATGTTAGCGTCTAATTGCTGAACATAGTGGAGCATAAATGACAGCCACAGACCGAAATGAAATTTGAACACTTAATTTGTTTACTCATCAGCTAATAAAAAGTGATCAGGCCTATGAAATTGTGTACCCTATGTAAGTGACATGTTTCTTTGTCGTGGTATCTAAATATGCTGCTTGACTCTTTGATCACAAACAGAACACAACTGTCATCTAACCTTGCTCAAGGTCGCAGTTATGAGCTGTAGTATTAATTGAACTTCATTTGTAGTCTTTGTGCTGCCATGATAATCATTTCAGAATATATATAGAGATAATCTGACATTCAGTCCCTGTGACATTTATTTTCTCCTCCCGTCAGTGTTTAATCACTGTTAAAAGCAACTTGTGTAAATGTTGGTGTGACATTGCAGTGAGGTTTTAAGGGTGCATAGAGAGTGAGCATTAAAGATCCAGGTCAGAGGTTTGAGAGTTACACCAGTAGTATGAAGGGGAAACAGGCAAAGTAAAAAGGCCACACCCTGTCTGAAGACTGATATCTTTGGCAATAATTCACAAGTTTCCCTTTCGCGGCACTGAATCACTCTCCTTGTTCCAGCATGTAGTGGCAATGAGGCCTGACGGACCTGAGAGAAAGAATTAGGTTAAACGTTGGAGGAGGGGAGAGAACGGCCTGAGAGCATCCACAACATGTCCTCCTTTAACCTTGTTCTATATCTGTCCTGCCGCATCCCCGTTTTTCCTCCACACCAACTGTACTGTGTAACCCCTGGGCTCAGCTGATAAGCTAGACATCTCTCCACCCCTGGCACACTGTCCTATTACCTCAAGTCATGTCCTTTTCTGCTCTGCACCATCGTCTCTTTCGTCTTGTAAAATTGATAGGGAACCAGGAAGGATGGGATGGAATGACAGAAGTATGAAAAAC